TTCATCGAGCTTCGGTGGATATAGCCGAAGTGGAAATAGCCATGACCCAGGGAAAGCCAAATCATTTCGGAATAGAGTTTTGCCAGTTAAACAAGATCGCTCCCTTGATGGACCCCTTACAAATGGTGATGGCAGAGAGCCCCGGACAGGAATCAAGAGAAAACTTCTTAGTGCATCAGAAGAAGATGAAAATATGGGAGGAGAAGATAAAGAGAAAAAAGAAACAAAAGAGAAATCTCATTTATCCACCTCAGAGAGCGGAGAGTTAGGATCCAGTTTAAGTTCTGAAAGTACCTGCGGTTCTGACTCTGACTCTGAATCAACTTCCAGAACAGATCAAGATTATGTAGATGGAGACCATGATTATAGCAAATTCATACAAACCAGGCCTAAAAGAAAACTCAGAAAGCAACATGGCAATGGAAAAAGAAATTGGAAGACCAGAGGCACAGGTGGAAGAGGCAGATGGGGAAGATGGGGTAGATGGAGTAGAGGAGGCAGAGGAAGAGGAGGCAGGGGACGAGGGAGTCGAGGAAGAGGTGGAGGTGGCGCTAGGGGTCGGGGAAGAGGGAGAGGAGGAAGAGGTGCTTCTAGAGGAGCTACCAGAGCCAAAAGAGCACGTATTGCAGATGATGAATTTGATACCATGTTTTCAGGACGTTTCAGTAGACTGCCTCGAATTAAAACAAGAAACCAAGGCAGGAGAACTGTTTTATATAATGATGATTCTGATAATGACAATTTTGTGTCCACTGAGGATCCTCTGAATCTTGGTACATCCAGATCAGGCAGAGTGCGTAAAATGACAGAAAAAGCCAGGGTTAGCCATCTCATGGGATGGAATTATTAACAGTTAATAAATTTAGAATAACTTAAAATTCAATGGCCTTCTACTGCAGGGAATTTACCAGGAATTCTACAAAGCAAGTTGTGTGGGGACTTCTGCTTCCTTTCACATTGGTGCTTTTCCATTTATGCCAGTATACATTTGTTTCAAGACTTTTGATCTCCACACTTCATTTGTTCAAATAAGCCTTACTCATTAGGCCTTAAATTAAAAGAAATTCTGCCCACACATACACACACAAACACACACACACAAACACACACACACACACTCGAAACACAACACAGAAACACTACAGATTTACTGCATTAAAGGAGCATTCAGCTTCTTAAGAGTAGCATGACATTTTTATCTCAATAGAATAGCCCTCTTTTGCTTTTGTATCACAGAAGTATAGCACCTTCTTACAGAGTTTTATATAGTTTTTTTTTGCCATTTTGATTCCTATACCCAGTAATAATAACTTTTGCACAATACACCAATCCTAAAGGCAGCTATTAAATGTTTACAGTTTCTATATTGTAAGAGCGATCTGGATTATTTTACTCTTCCCAGGCCAAACTTTCATGACTTGTATTGAACTGAAGTATATATTTATACTACAGTTTTTTGGGGGGTGGGGGGAATCTTGGTATGCTTTTCATTGATTTGCATAATTCACATTAAAGGTGAGAAAGGGTTGGTGCCTTGTAAATATGTAGCAGATCTTCGTGGTGTGTTCTGATGTGTGCATTAACTTTATTAAAAAAGAATACTTGAGGTATTAATCTAGACAAGGTGCCAAATGCAAAAGTTTCCTGCATCCATTTTTTTCCTATCATATTTTATTGCATTAATAGAACTTGTGTAGCTTAAATAATAACGTAAACATTTGAGAAATCCTCATCCACAAAGAACAACTTTGAACAGTAGCTCAGCTACCTCCGGTTCTTCCTTACTGACTAAGGAGAAATAGAACAAGCTTAGTAGGAATGAATACCCATAAGTTATAAGCTAAGAGGTTGTTAATAATTGTATTGGCTCTCAAATTAATTATTGTAATTAACAAACTTTCATAAGTATAGTATGCTCTACCTTAGGCTTTCGTAGAACATATTTGTGTAAGTGGACTTGGGCTACTGCTTATATATTTCTGTTCTACATACCATCTAACAGCTGTGAGTTACTGGTTTTCATTTGAACCTTAAAATTTAACAAAGCACCTAATTTGAGTTGGAATGTTTTGGCTAGCTAGTATTATGAATCAACTTACAGATTTTGCTTATACCATTCCAAAGGGTTCTTTTGTTCTAGTCTTTAAGAAAAGAACCTTATTGCACTGCACATTGATATTGTGAATCACTATTTTATAGATAAAAAAAAAAACTTTAAAAACCCGTATTGTCTTGTTTACAGCAGTAGAGTGCATATGGTTCCATAGGTGCACTTGAGTTCCAAGATCAATTTTGCTCCCCAAATTTAATATTACAAATTTGTTAATTTGTTAGCTACTTATGTTTTTGAGGTAAGAGGGATAATATCAATCTCTGTTTCTGTAACGGCAAATTTGTTGCGCTTAGATCAGACTCATGGGATAAAACAGACTAAGTAGTGTATACCTAGTTATCCCAGGATATTTCTTAAGCTAATGTGTTTGTCTCATGTTTTCAATCATTTCATGCATCTGAAAACCCTTAAATGCAGAGGAAGGCATACACACATAAAACTTTGCTTTTTTGGAAGGGTTGGCAGTAGGTTTATTCTTGAACTAACATCTTTAAGCCGTTTTCACTTGCAGTAGAAATGATGTTCAGGCTTTAAGAGAAAGTACTGTTGTTAATTGTTAATGGCACTAACCTCTGTTACTAGACAGCAGACCAAGCTATTTTTTTGTTGTTGTTGTAGTTTTTTTTTCACTAAACCAAAACTACTTCTGGTTGTAACTCAGCTGCCACTTTTAACCATAGTAGATATTCAAAACGTTCCTATTTGAAACTACATTTGATTTTTCCTAAAATGTGCTGTTTCAGTTATTTATCTCTTGGGCATTTAGACTAAATCGTGCCTGTATTCCTTAAATCAATAATACTTTGGCCTATCCTGATCTGAGTAACATAGTTACTTAAATTCCTGGATATACCCAAATATGGATCACATGTATCATTTTAGTGTGAAATTTTTTGTTGACATTCTTCTATGAAGAGCTGACCTCTTGAAATGTAGAAGAATTGACATTTGTGTGATTTTGGCTATCTGGAGCTTTATTTATAATTTATTTTGAATAATAAAAATGCCACATTTATTTCCCAAATGTCAAGATTTTCTAGGATTAGATAATTAGAATAATAAGGCTGAAGACATTTTAAAGCATATTTTATATGTAGTGAAATACTGTGAAAATATTAGTGAACAGCATTTTGCTGTAATGTTTATTTCAGTTATTAAGATTTAAAGAGTTAGTCATCAGGGTATGATAGATAAACATAGTTATCATTTATCAAACAAACAGATAATTTTCTGTTTGCATGCAAATTATTTTAATAAGTGTGAAAATAAAAGTTTGGAAGATAGTATTTTTACTTTTATATCTGGACTTTTTTCCCCCCAATTTACACTTTGCTTTTTTGTAATACCACCTCCTGTGAATGTGTTGTAATTACTATCACATTGATTACTTTATCATTTTAATTTCTTTGAGGCCATTTAAGCCTACCTAAAATCTGGGTTCAGCCATAGCAAAGCAAGTAGGAAATGAACAAAGAATTTTGGAGAAAAGCCTAAATCTTAAATTGCTAAGAAAAACCACTGTCATGTTTAGGCCCATGAGAGCATATACATGTATAAACCTAATCCTATGCTAGATATGAATAGTCAGTGAGCTGTAATATTTCTTATAAATGCTAATAATGTTTAAATTACCAGCTTTAAGACCTTAGTGTGTGTATATATTTATAAAACCTGAATTTTGTGTTTCTTCTATGGCTTACTGTGTGTTTCTCTTTCAGCAATAGGATGCTCTCCAAAACATTCACTAGCCTACTAGCCTAATTACTAAATTTGTTTTTATATATGTGTGTTTGTACACTTGTATGTGTGTAGAGTTTTTTTCCCCCAACTTGACATACCTTATCTCAGACATTCAAAAAACGAGAATATTTTGTATGGAGGACAGTCTACCAACTTTTTGCCTCTGTACAGCTCTTAGCCTGTATATTTACTGCTTGATCATCCGTTTCATTATGCCTTCTAGATTACCAATCCATGTTTTGTTTTATGCCTGTGTCCCTCTATTCTTTTACTTTTCCTTTATAAAAATTTGTCTCTTTTTTTGTTTCCCTCCCTGGATATCAGGCTTGTGTTGGAATTCTTCCCTACAGCACTTTGTTTCATCCAGATGCAAAGTAACTGAGTAAAATTACAAATCTCATTCTGCACAACTGTGTGCTCAAATATTTAACTCAGCCTTCTAATACTTTGAAGTACATTTCAATTATTTATCTTTTTGTTGTTTTAGTTTTAATCCCAAGATTGTCATCAGACAATAATACAGTGATTGAAAGAGAAAGATGTGAATGCTACTTCTAACTTTCTGATAAAACTTTTTTGAGCATTTTTCCAAAATTTGTATGTTTGTGGTAATGGTGAATTAAACACCTTTTACTTGCTTATATATGTTGGGAATCATTTTATGTACATTTACCAACTGGTACTTATCTTCAAGTTGGAATTTTCACATCCATAAAAGAGAGACTTGGATCATGTATAATTTTCAATATACTTCGCTGTCCAGCCTTTTAAACAATTACAGTAACATTTTGAGTTCTGAGATGAATAGTTCTAGGGGAACTTTCGACATGTAAAGTCCATTGTTTTAAATGCTAACCCTATCCCCAATATTTTTGTGGAACGTGAGGCTTTATGAAATGTTTATCAGGAATAGAGTATTCTAAAGTCACTTTTAAGGCTTGTTTCAAAAATTAGTTGAAAGGATTTTCATGCTTTTTTGCTTCTTATCTCTTAGCAAAGCTTCTTTACCAAGTTTTGATTAAATTCCAATATAAAATTAAGTTTTTTTATGGTGCTATATTTTGTGGAATATGGGTAGCACTCAGGATTCTTTCTTTTATCTTTTCTTTTCTCCTTCCTTCCTTCCTCCTTCCCTCCCTTCCTTCCTCCCTCCCTCCTTCCCATCCTCCTCCCCTTCTGCCTCCCAAAGTGTTGGGATTACAGGCGTGAGCCACCGCACCCAGCCTATATACCCTTATTCTTGATTATTTCTTTTCAATCCTGCTTACTTTTATCCTCATTTTCCTTTCTGCCATGAAAACTACACTTCATTTAGCACACTTAAGAAGATTGGCAATTTTTGATTCATTGATGGGAGAAGTAAAGTAGAAAGGCCCTGCAGTTTAGAATTAAGGTGTGTTTGTTTATTTACATGTATGCCCATTTCTTCTAAATTAAATCTAGAATATGAAACTTTGACATTTAAAAGCATGATAAGTATCTTCTTAAAAACTTGTTGATACATAATGAAACCACCTTGGTAATTGAATTTTAAAATAATAATCAAAAATATTTAGAAATCCAGTTGGGAAATGTGTTTTTGCATATGTCACCAGATACACATTAGGCAGTACTACAAATGTTAATTCTTAAACAATACTGTGGTGATGGCAATCAGTAATTTATTTCTTTGTCCTGTAACTTATCATTCTTGTCTTTTGTAATCTCTTACACAGTATTAACACAACTGTACCTATTTTTTTGTTCTTGGTATCCATATATTTTAAGATGGAAAATCAGTTCATAGTTGATATGATATTGTATATGGGCAAAGTGTCCGTTAAACTAAAATTCAGTAAAAAAGGTAAACTAAACTGGCTTGATTTATAAAAGATGTTTTCTTTGGCAGTTATCAATCATTATAAGCAATTATCTTCAAAGACAAAAAAACTGGACTAATTTGTTGCCATTCTTTATGGGATGTTTACAATAAAATTCCAAGTTGTTTGGAATCAATTGCACTCTTGCTGCTTTATGCCTTAATTTATGTGCCAGAGAAAAATTAACCAGAAGAAAGAAATGTGGAGTTACCTATTCAGCTTTAGAGATTGTAACATGTAACTCTTAGGTCTTTCTTGTTTCTTTGTCATAGAATATTTTATTACAATTATTTTTTAATCTGAGAAACTAGGATCTTCTTCCTATCAAAGAAAAGGTTTTGTTTTTGTTTTCACCTTAGACATTGCAAATATTCTTTGGGTCACTTTTAGGATAATAAATGTGATGTTTACACTTTAAATGTGGGCTGCCTGGTGCATTCAATAACAGCCTGCAAACCATTTGTCAACATTTTGTTTTGCAAAGCTTTTCAAAATGAATCGATCTCTAATATATTGATGACTTATAACTTTTAACAGCTGAGCTATAAATTCTTGACATTTCTAAATATGTAATCAGATTACCTATACTGTAAATGGTGCTTTAATTCAACGTAAGTGTAGGAGAGAGAGAGGTGAGGTGAGAGGATCTGAATGCTCTAACAGGAACATTCATTCATTTTAGGTATGAACCTATATAGTTATCCAGAATTTGTCTCCAAATGGCAAAAATTGCACTAGGTTCAAGATAAATAAGCTGGCCAAAGAATAGACTGTATCTTTAATATATATATGCTGTCTAATTTATGTGTTTAGAATTAAAAGGCATTTAGGAGAAAAGTAGCCTGATTTTTTACAATATTCAAAGATCGAAGTAGAGATAAGTTGTTTGGTATTTTTGT